GTTGTGAATTGCAGTGAGTGGATCAGAAGCAGAAAACTGACCTGTTGTGACATGATCCTGACTAGCCTGGGCATCTCCAGATTTTTCCTACAGTGGACAATATTCATTAACAATATCCTCTTTGCATTATCTCCAGTGATGAATGGACTGTGTGACATACGGAGAAACCTCTATATTTTTTGGATGTATCTAAATACTCTCAGCCTCTGGTTTGCTACCTGGCTCAGTGTCTTCTACTGTGTGAAGATCGGCAACTTCAGCCAACCTCTCTTCCTCTGGCTGAAGCGGAGAATATCAGGGCTTGTGCCACTGCTACTCATGGGCTCCTGGCTGGTCTCCTTGGTCACCTGTCTCCCTTTAGTCAAGTTCATAGAGAGAAAGTACATAAACAATTCAACAAATAATCTGTCAGGAAACACCAGAGTGGACTGTAGACATAATATGAATTCATCTCCTGCTCTTGTTATTTTGTACATGCTTGGATATTCTTTTCCTTTCTTTATATTTGTTGTTCCTGCTGTACTGTTAATCACTTCTCTGTGGAGACACATCAAGAGGATGGGGAAAAACACAAACATCTCCAGGGACACCATTACTGAGGCTCATGTCAGTGTAATTAAAGGTCTGATTGCTTTCATTTTCTTCTACATTTCTTATTTTGTGGCAATAGTGCTATTTTTATTACAAATATTTGCCCACAGCAGTCTCTCTTTCATGTGGTTCTGTATAGTGGTAATGGCTGCTTATCCCTCCTGGCACTCTGTTATCCTGATTTTAGGCAATCCCAAGATGAAGAAAGCAGCAATGAGGGCTCTAAACCATGCCAAGTGCAGGCTGAGGGATGAGGCTTCATAAAACCACTCATGATCAAACTCCACAAAAACAGCCCCTTGCTCCTTTCTATTCATGAAATAATTTCCCCCTACCACAGCAAGCACTAAAATTAGAAGATTTCCCTCCAGAGCTTTGCTTCATGTGGATAGCAGTAGAGGACAATGTTAAACTTAGAGTGACATGATTCTTTTTATCTAAATGTCTGTGAATTAATAACTCATAGAAGTCGAGGGCAAACGCCTATAAATTATAAGCTATGTTGCCTGAGACTGAGAAGTGGAAGAATCCTTGAACTGGTGCACATATCCAGTCATGCCAGGGGTCCTGTGGTGAGAGATATTGACTGGACTGTCCATGGCCAAGCTATGAGATCTGCAGAATACCAGATGCTTGTAAGGACCTCTGATGAAGAACATCATGCTAACAAATGAAAAGATGACCTAGAGGATCTACCCTGTTGTTATGAAAAGTGCTAGAGGCTGCCACCAGGTAAGCCTTTGCTCCAAAGACAATGACAGGCCAAGTTAAAGTCAATGGGTGTGCCAAGCATTCTTTCAACCTCTACAGAAAGAGCATGTAAGTCCCTTTATGTAGTAGAGACAGCTACAAACAATGGAGAGAATGTCCAAGGCACATGGCTGGTCAGAGCTAAACTGCATAGACTGAAGGGCTTCCCGGATTGCAAACACAAGGGTTAGGATATTGGTTTATGTGCTAGGGACACAAAGCCAGGAGAAAGCCTGGAAAAGCAGTTGTGAATATGACCCTGGGAGGAAGCAGATGGACAGTGCTTCTGGGGCACAGCAGTTGGAGTGACAGATTTGGGGAATTTTGAGCCACAAAACTGCCTGAAGTTATTTATTTCTACTGTGTTCAGGAATACAGGAATTTGTATAAACTTCTGTAAATAAACAAGGTTACACTGAAAAATATCACCCATCTCATATAATCAATTTCTCA